TAGCAGAGGCAGATGATGAGCAGGGGGCAGAAGAAGCCCACCGTGGAGGTGTAGATGATGAAGGCCGCCCTCCAGATGTTGGCCGGCTGGGGCCAGGCGATGTTGCAGGTTCCCCCGGCCCTCTGGATGTTGGCGAACACCACCACGGGCAGCACCACCAGGAAGGACAGCGCCCACACCGTGCCGTTGACCACTTTGGCCACCTGGGGCCGGCGCCACTTGGAGGAGCGGATGGGGTGGACCACGGCCAGGTAGCGGTCCACGCTCATCACGGTCAGGCAGAAGATGCTGGTGAACTGGTTGATGGAGTCCACGGTCATCACCAGCCGGCACATGAAGGAGCCGAAGGGCCAGGACTGGAGGGTGTTCTGCACGGCCAGGAAGGGGAGGCCCAGCATGAACAGCTCGTCGGCGATGGCCAGGTTGAGGATGTAGATGTTGGTGACCGACTCTATCTTGGAGTAGTGCAGCACGATGTGGATGACCAGCGTGTTCCCGCCCAGCCCGATCACGCACACCACGATGTAGATGAGCGGGATGAGGACCCCGGCCACGCTGGGGCCCGAGGACGCCTCCGGGAAGGAGGAGTTGGTGGGGCCGAACAGCGTGGCGTTCAGCAGATAGCTGTCGTTGAGCGGGAGCAGGGGGGGGGCCAGGCTGCCGTTCTCCCACGCCTCCGCAGACATTTCCTCCCCGGGGAGATGGACGCGGCTCGGTCCTGCTGCTGGTTCAACGCCCGGCCATCTGCTCTGCAGCATCACACCCGTTAGACCGACCGCACAACATTGCCATGATTTGTTGTTTCTTCAGAAACTGCAACGAAAAAGGCAGGAAAATGGAGATGCTGTCATTTTGAGGGACGTAAGAAAGCCATTAACCCTTTAATGCCAAATGTGTCATGTTTTATTCATATGGTTTCTGAAATGTTTTGCGTCTGACACCTTTTGCATAATTTAATGGTAAAAACTTTGCTCAAAATCCTATCGTACACAATCAGATACACCTGATAACAGGGGGCAGAAGACTACACAAAAAACAATCTTGACTTATCGCACAGTGAAAAAGAATTTTTTTTTACATATTTTGTTAAAAGGCCAAATAAAGATTTAAAAAAAATAAGTAATTTTCTGTTTTGTTTTATTCTTGGATCAGGCTTTAAAGGGTTAAATGGACATTATATATAGAGTAAAAGACCCATAAATTCTGTTTACGTCTCCTGTTTTACCGGATTTATTTTTGTTATTGGCGTCCAAGTGCTAATATGACGAAAGTGACAAAAACCATCACACTTAATTTAGTGGCTCATTTAGTAAAAAGTGTTCCCTTTTGATTTACATTAGCAGAAAACAAAACAGTTTCTAGACCTGACTAAACAACAAAGAACACTGTTCAGTGCCTTTTTCATAAACTAAAAAGCTTTCATCAGCTAATAACTATGACTTTGTGAAGTGTGCTGTCTCTTAAAATGAAATAGTACACAACATTTAAAAAAAAACATGAAATCATGCTGAAACCGGTGCATGAATTCTTTATTTTATGCAACTTTACAACAATTGTTTCCACTGCTATTGATTTACTATAGAAAATTCCAATTTATTTCACAGAATGATGCTGCTGTGGCTCAAAAACTGTGGAAATATAAATAGCAACGTCCTTAAAAGCAGGTAAGTGCAAAGCATTAGTAAACCAATGAAATGGGGACTAATGCATGTTGTAACATGAGCTAAAACAAACATCACACTTTGATAACGAGAGAAATTACGTTCACAAAAGCTCTGCCTTTAAAAGAGGAGAGCAGATGGATTGGATGAAATTAGAGCATTAAAGTGGACGCTCACTGGGGCTTTGACACGTTTGGCTCCTTTGATTTAGCAGGAAAACCCAACAGAGGGTGATCCCACATGTGGATAACGTCCATAATTGTGCATCTGATTAGCAACAGAGCACCACCCGATTGTGATGAGTTAGTTACACATGCAGAGAAGAGAGACCTAGAAGAACTAACGTTTAGTTAGAATAAAGTCACAGACAGAGAGACACACTCATTCATTTGGGGGCTCTTTATGATGCTACTGGTTCACATCAGTCCAAACTTGAAGGGATTTATTTAATAATGGTGACAAATCAGATGCTTTGTTAGTGTCTGTGACATTCATTCACTCATTTTTATTCTGAATCTTGCATTTTATTTACCAAAATCTCTTTAAAAGATGCCAACTCTGGTGGAATATTTCTTAGTTCTAAGTTTTAACTTAGTTTTATGCTTAAAGGGAAAAAATATGATTAAACTAATGAACAGTCATACAACAAATCAATTTAATTTATATTTCAAAGAAACAGAGACATTTTGGGTTGACTACAAATAACCAGGTGGTTGATTTTGACCACACTCTGTCCCACAGGTGCTTTGGTAAATCATCCATTTAGACATTAAAAAGCAGAGGAGACAGCAGAGACTCGTCGTGGCTCAAATCAGTCTGAAAGTTGATAGCTTTGCCACTTTTGAGGTACAGGAGGAAAACCACATCACTTTTCTATCATTTCTTTCCCCCGCTTGGCTTGCTCTCAGCACCTCTCTGCCTCTCATTTATGCAACCTTTTCCTTTAAAAAGGAACTCAGATGTCAGTTAACGCAATACCTACGTCACCATCTGTTGCATGAGGGTAGTTACGGAAAATCGACAAGGTTGTTCCTCTATCCAAGCAAAGAAACGGCCTTAGAAAAAATCCTTGAGTTCACAATTCTTTTTTTTTCTTTGTATGTACAGCATGGGCCAAATGCAGCTTTATAACTAACTTACTAATCCTATAAACTGGCCAGAAACTGTAAACTCCGGGGGGCCACTTTCCTGCAGGTTTGAGGTGTTTTTCTGCTTCAACACACCTGATTAACCCCATTGCACCTTTGTGCGAAACCCCTCAATCTTCTGGAGGAGTCTTTTTAAGTTTAAATCAGATGTGTTGAGGCTGGGAAACATCTAAGACCTGCAGGGCGGCGGCCCTTAAGGGGTTTGAGATCCCTGCCGTGAACGGACCGCATCACTGATTTGAATAAAGATCTGAATGTCAATCTCATAGTTCAGTGATGTCTGTTTGGAAGACGGAGACAAAAAAGAGCATAATTCATGATGTTTTTTTCTCCACCTTGGGGCGAATCTGCTGGCCAGCCCGGATTTTTCTCGGGCTTTATGATGGAGATGCATCATCAAGAGTTAATGCGTTACCACGGCAGCCAGCTGCTGCAGCTGTTTCATATTCATCACATCCATACGTGGGATTTATCAATATTTCATCAATACGAAGCCAAAAAAACTCATCAATTAAGTTGTAAGAAACTGAGTTTCCATGAAGCAAAAATAAACAGGAAATGTGATGACTACCTGTGGAGGCATATTAAAGGATCTTTGGGAGTTTTTCTCTTCATCAACTGCACAGCTGCACCTCAGTGTTCAAACTCAAATCGAAACAGAAGTTCATCACAGAGAAAAACCATCTCTGAGACGCTTCTGCAATCGAGAGTGAAAGGAGCCCAGATGTGCTCGCCTACAGGAGTTAATCCGGCAAACAGCTGCAGAAGCTCTTGAGTCTTATCTGAGCAATCGAAAAGAAAAAACTAGCAGGAATGAGCACAGCGGGGAAATCAAAGCAGACAAAGCCGGAGTCCTTTGGAGGACTTTATTGGCCCCTTTGATTCCTGCACACCGACACATTCACCCCCCCCCCCCACGGACGCCTCACGTCAAGTTTGGGCGCCATGGAAACCAGAGGAGCAGGGAGCCTTGATATCAGGAGCGTAAATCAAACCGAACAAGATTTAATTCTGATGGATTTTTTCTTTGTTTTCACCCCCCACCCTCTCCCAGCGAAACACAGAAGAGGGAGAAAGTATGGCGATGAAGAGTAAATGACTGAATTAATCTTACATTATCAGCGGGTCAAGATCCACCCCAATCAGCCACCACATTAAAGCCACACCTCAAAAATGACGCTTAAAACAAGGATGAGGAGTCACAAGCATCAATGTCTTTGTTTTTTAGCTTGTTAAACTGAAGTTGTATTCACTTTAAGCAGGTCTAAGAGAGTTTATGGTGTATATTGGTCTCCGGCTAACAAATAAAATCCTACTGCAGTAATCTTTAGCCTGGATAAAAGAGCAGCGCTGTTTCAGGAAAGACATCTGCAGTTAAAATTTGGCTTAAATCAAATATGTCGATCATAAAGTTTGAGATTTCAGATGATTTTAGGAAAAGAAACAGGAAACAGGGATATCAGAAAAAAAGAGAGGAGAGAGAGGACCAATGGAAATGTTTAGAAAATTACAAAAAAAAGCAACTCTTTAGTTTTGTTTGTGGGAAGATGCTGATTTTAAAGGATAATTAGTTCAGATTCATGTTAATTTATCTTGCTTTGGATAATTATCACAACTTCTGTCGCACATTTGAGTCAGACCGAAAAAGAAAAAGGCTCTGTGAAGATGGTACCTTGGCTTATGTCGTACCGTGAAAAGCATCTAATCTTTTTAGATTTACTGAACTTACAGTTAATAACTGAAAGCACTGCGCAGCAGAAGAAAAACCCACGCTTATCAAACGCATCACTCCACATTTATTTCACTCAAAGATGTCTAAATCAATCCATGGCGTTTCCTGTCACATCTCCTCTACGGCCGTCTGCTTTTCATTTGACAAATTTCACTCTGCCTCGTTCATTTTCACACTTAACGTCCGGGACCTTTCAGGATTTGAAAGCTCCCAGAAAAAAGACGCATTTAGACACACGCCGCCTCCTTTAACGACACCAGGCTTTTTAACTTTTCACCTTTTTACACTTTTCCCCACAAATGTTACTACAGAAAGTCAAAAAAGTTATTGGAAATGCAACACAGCATTCTGACCATTAGCAGTTATGGTTAGACTCTTTACTTTTTATACCGTTGCCCTAAACATCATTTAAGATGCCTAAAATCCCCAGTAAGATAAATTTGAAGTCCTGAAAAGTGAATAAGAGCTGTACAGAAATGAAAACACAAAGTAAAAGAACTCATAAGAACGACAGAAAACAAAAATATGTGATGATAAAACTGGATTAAAATGCATAAAATTGCAACATCAACCTGTCAAAAAGAGCCAAAGCCCCAAAGAGAACAGATGGCTTTGGGCAGAGATTTGAAAACAGACTATGAGGAGGCCTGGGTGATGATGATAATGAGGCAAATTGCCTGTGATGAGGGTATGATGATGTTATCTTTGTCTTTAAAATGCATTTAGTAGCCATTTTCTGCCCATTTTTTTGGCTTTTTGCTCGCCATTGTTGATTGCATTTAATCCCACAAAAAGACCAATGATTTTCATATGAAGAGCCTGTGCTTTGAATCAGTCAAACAAGTCATGTAAAGCTGTTTTTGTTTGCTCAAACGTGCAGCTTTCAGAGATTCATCTGATGCCAGAAACACGATTTTGACACACAAATGAAAGTCAATTACTCAGAAGTGCTTTGGCACTATAGTGGTGTAGTTAAGAGTAATCAGGTGCTTTTGAGGGCCATTTGAGATGTCTGTGAAGGCTAAAACTTAATGTGGAATTGGAGCAAAAAAAACAAAAACTACCCAGTCAAATTAATGTCAGACCAGCATGCTGATTCATTATTATTGAATTTTACACCAAAACATCTTTACTATACATGATTTATATCACTGGTACTCACTTTTTACCTCTAAAATGAGATTTTTTTTAAAATAACGAGATGAGGGAGCAACCGA